TATCTATGCAATGGAATAATCACGGCAATGAGAAAGAATGAAGCCTGTCCATTTGTAGCAATGTGGATGGAACTCGAGGGTGTTATGCTAAGTGAAATAAGTCAGGCAGAGAAAGACAGATAGCATATGTTTTCACTCATATGTGAAACATGAGAAACTTAAGAGAGCACCATGGGAAGGAGAAGGGTAAAAATATAGATAAGGAGAAGGAGGGAGGCAAACATAAGAGACTCTTAAGTACTGAGAACAAACTGAGGGTTGAGGGGGGTGTGGGAGAGGGGAAAAGAGGTGATGAGCATGAAGGAAAGCACTTGTTGGGATGAGCACTGCATGTTATATGGAAACCAACTTGACAATAAACAATAAATAAATACATAAATACATAAAAAATAAAATAAAGCTAGAAAATAGAAAACAAATGTTTAAGAATGTATGGTTACTTATGCCTGTATCCAAAAATATTAAATGAAGGGGAAGAGACAAAGCCTATACTTAATATAACTAAAAGTGCAAGTTAATATAGACAAAGTGTCAAATGAATAGTTTAAATCAGCTCTAGACAGGAGGGACTGTGGTCTCCCAGTTTGAATGAGAAAAAAGGCTTTATAAGAAAAGTCAAATGTAAACAAGACTAAGACTGGTAAATAGAACTTTCAGGTAGAAAGAAGGCAAGATCACTATAATTATTTAAGGTAGGAATGGATGTTTGTCTTTCCATATTAATGTCTAAGTTTAAGTGGTTATGTGCTCCTTTCCATTCAGATGAAGCAAAGAACTCATGTCTTATTTTGCATGAGGCTGATTGCTTTTTTAAAAGGATGCTGCATGGCCAAAAAAAAAGGGGGGGGTGCTTTACATGGCTGATGTTCAACCACCACAACACCAGTGTTCATAATCCTCCCTCCAATACTAGAATATGTGTGAAGAAAAGAAGAAAAAGTAAGTGGCTCTCATTTCCCTATCAACAGTGAGAGGTTGAGGTACCTGTGCTTTTGTGTTGGGGAGCTTATAAACAAAGATTGTAAGAGAGGTGTTGAAAGAAGTCCCAGAAGACACAACCTCTACTTGCTACAGAAATCCATTCATGGAAGAGGCACAGAGAGGGCAAAGAAAAATCTCCAGTGACTGCACTGGATGACTTGGTGTGAATACTTGTTTCCCCAACCATCCACTAATCATCAAGCCCTTCATCCATCCACCCATCCGTCCATCCCTGTCTTCTGTCTAGATCCAAGCATCTATGCATCTATCTATTCATTTGTATTGCTAAAATAGTGACTCCTTGGTTCAAAAAAATAACAATTACCTGTCAACCAAAGCTTCTTCAAGAAAAAATTCTATATTATTCTTCAATTCTTTGTTATAATCTTCAGGTGGGAGCCAAGGGATAACTTGGTATGATGTTTCCTTCCCTTTAAAATCTAGAAAAACATCCATGGGTTAAAAATGTTAAATATGCCACAAAACATTGATTAACATTAGTATGAAAATGACATCACTTATTTGCTCAAATAATTTTCTATTTATAGAATGTTTGCCTTTTGAGCTATTTTTGTATGGTTTAGTTGTGTTCTCTTTCATTCAAACTTATAAAATGATTGACATGTATAGAGAACTTACCATGATTGAGGAATGCTGTTCAATTTAAAGTTATAAGAGCTTCCATAAGGTATAGCTATTTGTCTTTTTTACAGGTGAGAAATCAAAGTAAAGTGAACTTAAGACAATTTGTCAAGGTTGCACACATAGGAAGTGACAGACTTTGTATTTAAATACAGGTCTGTTTGATTCCAGAGCCTCTACTCCTCCTTTTTTAGAAAAACTCATTTTCATTACTTAGAGTAATAAATCCAACTAGTTTTTTTTTTTATTCACTAAAAAGTACTACAAACCTTCTATAAAATGGTAACCACTGTACCTCTACTTAACAACATGTCTTCTCCCATATACCCATGTGTAATAAAAAGTCTGAGTCCATTTTTCATGTTTGACTGCTGACAGTTTTCAAGNCATAGTGCTGGAAGTCCTAGCATTAGCAATCACACAACAGAAGGAAATAAAAGGCATAAGAATTGGCAACGATGAAGTCAAACTTTCACTTTTCGCAGATGACATGATACTCTACATGGAAAATCTGACAGGCTCCACCAGAAGCCTACTAGAACTGATCCATGAATTCAGTAAAATTGCAGGGTACAAAATCAACGTACAGAAATCAGCTGCATTTTTATACACCAATAATGAAGCAACAGAAAGAGAAACTGATCCCATTCACAATTGCACAAAAAAAAAAAAACATAAAATACCTAGAAATAAACCTAACCAAAGATATAAGAGATCTGTATGATGAAAACTATAGAAAACGTATGAAGGAAATTGAAGAAGACACAAAGAAATGGAAAAACATTCCATGCTCAAGGATTAGAAGAATAAATGTTGTTAAAATGTCATTACTACCCAAAACAGTCTACACATTCAATGCAATCCCAATCAAAATTGCACCAGCATTCTTCTCAAAGCTAGAACAAACAATCCTATAATTTGTATGGAACCACAAAAGACCCCGAATAGCCAAAGTAATATTGAAGAAGATAACCAAAACGGGAGTCATCACAATCCCAGACTTTAGTCTCTACTACAAAGCTGTCGTAATCAAGACAGTATGGTATTGGCACAAAAACAGACACAGACACCAAAGGAATAGAATAGAGAACTCAGAATTGGACCCACAAATGTATGGCCAACTAATCTTTGACAAAGCAGGAAAGAGTAACCAGTGGAAAAAAGACAGCCTTTTTAACAGATGGTGCTGGGAGAACTGGACAGCAACATGCAAATGAATGAAACTGGACTAGTTTCTTACACCACACACACACACACACACACACACACACACACACACACACCAAACAACCTCAAAATGGATGAAGGACCTGCATGTGAGACTGAAGCCATGAAAACCCTAGAGGAGAAAGCCGGAAACAACCTCCTTGACCTCAACCACAGCAACTTCTTACTCAACACTCAAAAGAATTAGAAGTAAAAATGAACTATTGGGACCTCATCAAGATAAAAAGCTTCTGCACCATAACGGAAACCATCCATAAAACTAACAGGCAACTGACGGAATGGGAAAAGATAGTTGCAAATGACATATCAGATAAAGGACTAGTATCCAAAATCTATAAGGAACTCACCAAACTCCACACCCTAAAAACAATCCCCCCAGTGAAGAATGGGCAGAACACATGAACAGATACTTCTCCAAAGAAGACATCCAGATGGCCAACAGACACATGAAACGATGCTCAGCGTCCCTCATCATCATGGAAATACAAATCAAAACCACACTGACATACCACCTCACACTGGTCAGAGTGGTAAAATGAACAAATAAGAGGACTCTAGATGCTGGCGAGGATGTGGAGAAACGGGCACCCTCCTACACTGTAGGTGGGAATGTAAACTGGTGCAGCCCCTCTGGAAAACAGTGTGGAGGTTTCTCAAAAAATTAAAAATAGAACTCCCCTATGCTAGCAACAGTGCTGCTAGGAATTTACCCATGGGATACAGGAGTGCTGATGCAGAGGGGCACATGTACCCCAATGTTCATAGCAGCACTTTCAACAATAGCCAAATCATGGAGAGAGCCTAAGTGTCCATCAACTCAAGAATACATCAAAAGGATGTGGTTTATCTATGCAATGGAATAATCACGGCAATGAGAAAGAATGAAGCCTGTCCATTTGTAGCAATGTGGATGGAACTCGAGGGTGTTATGCTAAGTGAAATAAGTCAGGCAGAGAAAGACAGATAGCATATGTTTTCACTCATATGTGAAACATGAGAAACTTAAGAGAGCACCATGGGAAGGAGAAGGGTAAAAATATAGATAAGGAGAAGGAGGGAGGCAAACATAAGAGACTCTTAAGTACTGAGAACAAACTGAGGGTTGAGGGGGGTGTGGGAGAGGGGAAAAGAGGTGATGAGCATGAAGGAAAGCACTTGTTGGGATGAGCACTGCATGTTATATGGAAACCAACTTGACAATAAACAATAAATAAATACATAAATACATAAAAAATAAAATAAAGCTAGAAAATAGAAAACAAATGTTTAAGAATGTATGGTTACTTATGCCTGTATCCAAAAATATTAAATGAAGGGGAAGAGACAAAGCCTATACTTAATATAACTAAAAGTGCAAGTTAATATAGACAAAGTGTCAAATGAATAGTTTAAATCAGCTCTAGACAGGAGGGACTGTGGTCTCCCAGTTTGAATGAGAAAAAAGGCTTTATAAGAAAAGTCAAATGTAAACAAGACTAAGACTGGTAAATAGAACTTTCAGGTAGAAAGAAGGCAAGATCACTATAATTATTTAAGGTAGGAATGGATGTTTGTCTTTCCATATTAATGTCTAAGTTTAAGTGGTTATGTGCTCCTTTCCATTCAGATGAAGCAAAGAACTCATGTCTTATTTTGCATGAGGCTGATTGCTTTTTTAAAAGGATGCTGCATGGCCAAAAAAAAAGGGGGGGGTGCTTTACATGGCTGATGTTCAACCACCACAACACCAGTGTTCATAATCCTCCCTCCAATACTAGAATATGTGTGAAGAAAAGAAGAAAAAGTAAGTGGCTCTCATTTCCCTATCAACAGTGAGAGGTTGAGGTACCTGTGCTTTTGTGTTGGGGAGCTTATAAACAAAGATTGTAAGAGAGGTGTTGAAAGAAGTCCCAGAAGACACAACCTCTACTTGCTACAGAAATCCATTCATGGAAGAGGCACAGAGAGGGCAAAGAAAAATCTCCAGTGACTGCACTGGATGACTTGGTGTGAATACTTGTTTCCCCAACCATCCACTAATCATCAAGCCCTTCATCCATCCACCCATCCGTCCATCCCTGTCTTCTGTCTAGATCCAAGCATCTATGCATCTATCTATTCATTTGTATTGCTAAAATAGTGACTCCTTGGTTCAAAAAAATAACAATTACCTGTCAACCAAAGCTTCTTCAAGAAAAAATTCTATATTATTCTTCAATTCTTTGTTATAATCTTCAGGTGGGAGCCAAGGGATAACTTGGTATGATGTTTCCTTCCCTTTAAAATCTAGAAAAACATCCATGGGTTAAAAATGTTAAATATGCCACAAAACATTGATTAACATTAGTATGAAAATGACATCACTTATTTGCTCAAATAATTTTCTATTTATAGAATGTTTGCCTTTTGAGCTATTTTTGTATGGTTTAGTTGTGTTCTCTTTCATTCAAACTTATAAAATGATTGACATGTATAGAGAACTTACCATGATTGAGGAATGCTGTTCAATTTAAAGTTATAAGAGCTTCCATAAGGTATAGCTATTTGTCTTTTTTACAGGTGAGAAATCAAAGTAAAGTGAACTTAAGACAATTTGTCAAGGTTGCACACATAGGAAGTGACAGACTTTGTATTTAAATACAGGTCTGTTTGATTCCAGAGCCTCTACTCCTCCTTTTTTAGAAAAACTCATTTTCATTACTTAGAGTAATAAATCCAACTAGTTTTTTTTTTTATTCACTAAAAAGTACTACAAACCTTCTATAAAATGGTAACCACTGTACCTCTACTTAACAACATGTCTTCTCCCATATACCCATGTGTAATAAAAAGTCTGAGTCCATTTTTCATGTTTGACTGCTGACAGTTTTCAAGCCCTATCTCCAATGCCCTCTTCTATAGAGATCCTTCAACTGGGCAAACTAGTAAGACAGTCAGCATGCTTCCTCCCTTGGCCCTGTGGGATTTCAAACCATGCAAGGAGGGCCAGTGAGGGGGAATCCTCAACACATCCCAACTCTCTACTCACAATAAAAACTCAAACTACTCCTCCCTCCAGCCTCTGGAGAGCCATTTTTCAGATTTGCTTAGGAGCCTGTCCTACTCTTCCAAAAAATACATACCTTACTATTTGAGTAATAAAAATTTCACAGTCTTATGCATGTGAGCTTTCCTCAGTCACAACATTCAATCAAATTGTGTGTAAACCAGGGATAGATTAATGTATAGTCCCGCACACTAAAACTACCAAGCCCAAACTTAGTGAAATTAATGCTATCCAAGTATGCACTAGAAAATACAATAACACCTTGGTTTGCAAGCATAATTCATCCTGGAAACATGCTTGTAATCCAAAGCACTTAGATATCAAAGTAAATGTCAAGAACCATTGGCTCAGTTGTGATCATGTGATTTTCTGCATCGGATAATACTCATTGCAAGACACTGCTTGTTTATCAAGTCAAATTTTATTAGAACTGTTTATTCGGGTGCGCCTGAGTGGCTTAGTCGGTTAAGCGTCCGACTTTCACTTAGGTCATGATCTCGCGGTTAGTGGGTTCGAGCCCCGCATCGGGCTCTGTGCTGACTGCCAGCTCAGAGCCTGGAGCCTGTTTCAGTCTGTGATTCCCTCTCTCTCTGACCCTTCCCTGCTCACGCTGTCTCTCTCTCTCTCTCCCCTAGAAATAAATAAAACATTAAAAAAAAAAAGAATTAAAAAAAAAAGAAATGTTTATTCGTCTTGTGAAATGCTCACAGAACAAGGTACTCACAATCCAAGGTTTTACTGTATTTTGCAATCATACTTTTGGCTAATATGTTTTGTTCATACCTATGTCAACAGGCTCTCAACGTCAGTTTGCCTTCACCTTGGAAGGGATACAGTACACCTTTAACTGGTTGTCCATGGGGTATTTCACCAGTCCGACCATTGGCCACAATCTTTATTGGCAAGATTTTAACCAGATCCAACTTTCCCCAGGAGCACAGGCAGGACATTTTATTGACAATATCCGGCCCTGAAGAGATTCATTTGACATATTCATCAGGACAGAGAAACATCCTCAAAGAGCTCAGATGAAAGGATATGCCATTGCCCCACACAGAGCTCAAGGCCTATGACTTCAGCTAAATTCATGGGAATTATTTGATAGGCTGAGGCTTCTGTATGTATGAAACAATAACTGATAATTCACGACAGCACAATATCTTGACAAGTCCAACATCTCTTAAGCCTTTGTGCAATCTGGAGACAATAGGTTTCTGATTATACATTTTCCTTAAATAAATTAGTGCTTATTTTTGAAAATCAACCCATTTTGAGTAAGGCTCAGATTCAAAAAGATCTAGAGTCTGTCCAAATTGCAATGCAATAGGCACTGCCATTAGTGCCGCTGACATTTGCCTTCATTATAAAGGTTCTTCTTCCCATTCTTCCTGGAGTTATCTAGATCACCTGTGATAGCAATATTAGTCTTCACTTGCTGCTATAATAAATTACTATAAACTTAGTTTATAGTCAACTATAAACTTAGTTGCTTAAAACAAAACATATGTACTATCTTATAGTTCTGGAGATCAGAAGTCCTAAATGGGTGTCATTAGGACAAAAGTATGGTATGGGCAGTCCAGCAATCTTTTGGGAGACTCTAAAGGACGATCCATTTTCTGGTCTTTTCCTTCATTCCTTGGCTCATGGCCTCCTTTCAACTGGCAATGGCATCATCCATCATCTGCCTTTTCCTTCCATCATCACATTTCCTACTCTTACTCTCTTCTCGTCTTGTCCTTTTTTTAGAAGGACTCTTATAATTATATAGGGCCCAAATACATAATGCAAGATATTCTCCCCATCTCAAAATTTTTATATCAATCACATCTGAAAAGTCCCCTTGCCATATAAGGTAGCAAATTCACTGGTTCAGAAGAGCAGAGCATATCTTTGGGTGGGGGCATCATCTTCTACCACCATGGTCTACTCTCTGGGCCTCAAAGTCTCATGTACATATCACATAAAAATTACATTCACCCCACCCCCAACATTCCAACAAGTTTCAATCCTTCACATCATCAATTCATAGTTCAAAATCTCATCTAAATATCATTAGCTCAAATGTCCCAACTTAAATTATCCACATAATTCAATCAAGTGTGGGCGGGACACTCTGGGTATGATTCATACAAAAGCAAAGTTTCTCCATCTGTGGACCTATGAAATTAGGAAACAAGTTTATCTGCTCCCAAGGAATATTAAGATACCAGATGCAGACATTATCATTCAAAATGGAAGAAAATAGAAGGAAAATATGAATCTCTGTCCCTTAGAAATGATGGCAGAGAAGGACAGATACCATACGTTTGCACGTATAGGAGGATTAGGAAGAACTTAACAAGGGACCGTGCGGGAGAAGAAAGGGAAAAATAGTTAAGGAGAGGGAGGGAGGGAAACCATGAGAGACTCTTGAATGCTGAGAACAAACTGAGGGCTGATTGGGGTTAGAGGGAGGGGAACGGGGGTGATGGGCATGGAGGAGGGCACTTGTGGGGATGAGCACTAGGTGTTATGTGGAAACCAACTTGACAATAAACTATTTTTTTTTAAAAAGGAAAAAAATGGTAACAGTAAAAAAAAATGTTGACATCCAACTGGGAGGACAATATTAAGTTTTAAAAAGTGTAAATAACCTTCTGTGAATTACAGTTCAGCCCTGTGAGCTTGAAGTTCTTTCCTCTGGGTTCACTGCTTCAAACTCAGAGTTTTCTGTTTGTTCTTCATAAAAGGTAGCACTAGTTTTCAACTGAATATTCTATGCACATGTTTCTTACATTCGGGGAGTTCAGTGCCTTCTTCATGTCACTCTTTCTCTGTCCTTTTCAATCCAAACTGGCAGTGTTTATCCTGGTATAAAATTTTCAGGTACCTTCCCGATCTTTGTGTAAGTCATGAAATTCATTCTGCTGCACAGGACGTGCTCCACAGATCTTTAATAATAATTTTATCTCTACTATTGGCATCAGCCAATATAGTTAAAGGAAACTATTGAATTACACACCTAATATTTAAAGAGCTTTGCTAGACTAAATATTCCGACCTATTCAGAGAATATAGCAAGAGGTTATCCAGCCACACTTTCTCTTTCGACAGTCAATCCCCTAATTTTAGAATCTTTTGCAATCCAGATAGGATGAGAGTTTCCAAAATAATGAAGTGTTCATTCCTTTATGCTTAATAGTTCTTCCTTCAATTTATCTCTTTCCTTTCATGTTTTACTGTAGGAAGTAAGAAGTCCTTATTCCTTAAGGAATTCTACTAGACATTTAAAACAGAATTAATACCCATTCTTCTCAAGCTATTCCAAAAAATAGAAATCGAAGGAAAACTTCCGGACTCATTATAAGAAGCCAGCATCACTTTGATTCCCAAGGCAGACAGAGACCCAGCAAAAAAAGAGAACTACAGACCAATATCCTTGATGAATATGGATGCAAAAGTCCTCAACAAGATACTAGCAAATCGAATTCAACAGCACATAAAAAGAATTATTCACCATGATCAAGTGGGATTATTACTGGTTACAGGGCTGACTCAATCAATAGTTGCAAAGAAATCAATGTGATACGTCACATTAACAAAATAAAAGATAAAAAGCAGATGATACTGTTGATAGATGCAGAAAGAGCATTTGACAAAATACAGCATCCCTTCTTTTTTTTCTTTTTTAAAAATGTTTTATATATTTTTTATTTTTAAAAATTATTTTTTTTTACAAATAGTTTATTGTCAAGTTAGTTTCCATATAACACCCAGTACTCATCCCCACAAGTGCCCTCCACCAAGCCC